AAGATAAAATAAAATTTCACTCAATCAAAAGCAAAATTTCATCAAATCACCCACAAGAGTAAAAATAGGACTAAGTCAACAAGATACAACAATACAACAGGCTTTTGCATTTCACGTGACAAAACCAAAGTAGCCCATAGGGTTTCCCCAAGATCTGCTCCACTGATATCCTTGAATTCGGTAACAGACAATGACAAATCCACAATCCAGGAACATATCTCAGCTAGACCTGTTCAGAGGCTGGGCCGGGCTTTGCCTATATATTAACAGAATAGCCCACCTGGAAATTGGGTAAGAAGATTTTTTTTACGCAACAACAGAACTGATTTATTTATATTAAATRACCTCAAACCCCAAAAATGCTGAAAGATCTCACTATGGGTTGAGAAAAGAGAAGAACAAAGAAAAAATCAGGCCTAGTATTTTAGGCCTGAGCCTGAGCATGCGGGCCTAAAATCATGTCCAAGCCTGACGAAGAATGGGCCAGGTTGGGACAGCCCATTCAGCTCATGAATGGGTCAAATCTCAGCTACCACTTTCATTCTTAGCTGATACCTATCTAAAAAAAATGCAACTATTCCTAACTTTCCAGATGCCCCCAAGAAGTTGCAAATGGTATAGAACTACGAAGAAATTTCACTTTTTTCCACCTGAGATTTTAGGCCACTTGGAGAAGGTTTCTAAGAGATCATTCAGGCTTGGCTTATGGATGTTAAACAGTTTTTATTTGATAAGTGAATGAAGATATTTTATTGCCAAAGGATTAACACAATACAAGCAACCCTTGGAGAGGTGCAAGCTGTGACCTCTCCTAACCATTGTATTATCAAATTCATGTCTTTGGTAAGCCATTTAAATTTCTCCATTTCATTCCTGAAAACCCAAGTAACCAAGTCTGGATTTTACCACCATGCCACAACCAGTTGAGTCTCTTCAATGATTAGGTTCTCCAAATGTAACTGATTTGCTATCTGAATTCCTTGTAAGGCAGAAAGAAATTCGACCCTATTAG